AACTATACCGACTGAGCGACCGCTGCTTCTTGGCGAAGTTTAGTGCCAACATTTTGTGGATAGAGGGTGTCTCATGGTCAGCGCAATGAATCCCCATGGTGATTAATTTTGGTTTTCTAGACCAGAGCTGCTATTTCCTTGAAATAGCTCCTCAGTTATAATCACGAGGCTGAGTGGACCCTGTCCCAGACCCACTGCTTCTCAGAAAAAATCTGGTAGCGTCGGGAATCGAACCCAGACCTCTGGATCTGTAGCCAGGAACGCTGACCACTAGGCCACAGAGGTGGTCTCCTTTAATATATAATAAGCTAAAATTCTACAAGAGATAGAAGGAAATGTGGTTCTAAAGATGGCATGTCCAGTCTGTGGATTAATTTTTTGGACCACAAATGCATGTTAGTTTTATTTAAAAAATAAGTAAGTTTTTGTCATTTATAAAATTCGAAATGACCATTTTGGTCCACATATGTTTTACTGCAAAAATTTGTGGTCTTTGATTTATAGTATTTTTGTAGTCAGATTCCAGATTGGCAATTTTGCTAACACATTTTCAGACCTAAGAAAGCAAGAAGTTGGGTGTGGAATAGGTGAATGCCGAGAGTCAGTGAGGCCATGCCATGTCTCAGGCATTTAGTCGGTGGCTTCTCAGAATGGCGGCTGGGTTGAATCCCAGGTCAGGTCAGGTCTGGTATGAAGACAGATTAAAACATATGTAGAAATTATGTATGAAATGTTGTTCTAAGTCAGCAGTTACAAATATGAGAATGGTGCCAATCATTGCTATTGTATCTGAGAAATTCATAGTCAGAATCTGTACTTGCATAATGAAACCCCCCCCCAAATGATATTAATACTCTGCAGCAGGGCATGTGGTAGTATTTGGCTGAATCACTATGCTACAATCTGTAAGGTTGTGGGTTCAAGTCCTGATGAGGTGGATTTTTTCAACTGACCTAATCTTTCCAGCTGCACTGTGGGCCCGGGTTTGACTCTAACAGAAATGAGTACCAGAAATCTTCCTGGGAGGTAAAGGGCAGCTGGTGTGTAAGGCAGACAACATTACAACCATCTGTGAGCTGACTATCTAGAGAAAATGTGGGAGTCTCGAAGCCTGACAACCATATGGGCCTTCAGAGCCTGTTACAGGGACAGCTTTACTTTTTTTTTACTTTGTTTGTAGCGTGCAATATTTTCACTTAACAAGAACAAGCTGTTAAAAGGGTACTAACTGAAGTGATATCTGATCCTAAGGTCATCAGCTCACAAGCCTAACACGACCAACTCATGAGTTAAATTGCATTCTGTTGTCAGATTATGAACGTAAAGTACTTAAGTACAGCATTAACAACACAAGATTTGTAGGTCTGTGAGGAAGACAGGCCATGTGAATTCTGCCTGGACTGTGTCGTTCTTTCTCTAGAATGGACAGTAACAATGTAGCCACCTTATATGTGTATTTTCTCTCCTATTTGAGGAACGATAACTTCAAACAATTTTAGCAAGACTCGTAGAGTTTGGTGTGACCATATATATGAATTTAGTATGAAACAGTTATATGTATATTGAAAACTACAAAAGTAAAAATGTAACATAGCTCTTAGTTTGTGTTCAGAATATGTTAAGTAGTGGAGGCCTATGCTGATGGAAATTATACTCATTAGACCAGTAAATTTATAACATGTAGTAGTGTATCATTTATTAAAGCCTCCAAGAAATGAAATGGGGATGAAAGCATTTGAAGCAAATTAGCCATCATGAGTCTTCCTGGAAATCCTTGTTACATAGTAATATGTGATTGAATAGCATGCATGTTGGTATAAATGGAAGGCATAATTTTTTGTATTTGATCCTTAATTTGCAAGAAATCTGTTCATTTCCATAATGTATTGTTTTACAGAACAAAAACTGTTCTAACTCTTATGGACCTGGCACGCAAGGACTCACGAATTCTGCGCAAGAAATCACAGCTGTACCTTTGGAACCTGCTCACTGTTGCTGTGTTCTATTCTCTGCCAGTTGTGCAGCTTGTAATAACCTATCAGCTGGTAAATTATTTTTGTGATTTTGATGACATTTGAATAACTCCATGGTACTGGATCTTATTTTAGTAGGTGGTAGTTAGTCAGAAATTTACTGTTGCTATGGAACGCAGAGTTTCAACAGTGTCATCATGAAGGTCTTCCATTAATTCATGGATGTTTATATGATCTTTTCTCTGACATCAGTTTCTGTTGATTGGTTTAGTGGATTCAGCTGCTAGTATCTGCCTATTGACTAGTTCAGTCAGATACTTAAGACCTGTAAGTCTGAACTTAAGACTGTCACTATAATAGACATAACTATTGTACCACCATTACTTTATCTATTTTCTTATTATCCTTCCATTTTGATGATGATCTCTCAAGTGGTTTCTTTGCATCAAATTTTCTGACCAGAACTGTGTATATTCATACATGCTCTTTTGTGCTACATGTTCGCAGTAGACTTTTATTCAGAGGGTCCTAGGTTTGAGCAGTACCTAGATCTGGGTATGAGATATCTGTGTGTAATATGAAGACCGTTCCTCAGCTGAAACCTTAAATCTGGGAATGATAATACTAGACTTCATGGTTCAGAGCCCATGATGATCTGACCATCATTTGCATCTGTAATTATCACTGGCAGTAACAGAATCTTCCTCATAGGTACTGCTGTCTTGAAAGTGGGTGCTTTCACTTGCACAAACACCATGGGGGTTAAATAAGACCTTGAATGAAGACATTTATACTTAATATCATACCAAAATTAGGTACCATATTGTAGTTAATACCTGCATGAACAAGAAGCATGTTAGAAATTTTGTATATGTTATTATTACAGATTACAGACTCAATGAATCAGTCAAAATGGTGTATCACAGAATACCCACATCTAATCCCAGTGGAATGTAATCTTCACCAAGGTTACTGCATTTCCCTTACCACCATTGAGGTGCATGGTCAATCACCATTCTGTAATCTGTGACAGCCTCAGTATTAGTATTAGCAGATTCAGACTGACAGTGTGAAATCAATCTTTGCTTGCTGCATTGTCTTGAAGGAAAATTTGTCCATATTGCTACAATTATGGATGTGCCTGAGTCGCAGCAAGTCACACTTTTTCATGTAACAGTGTCACATAATATGCACCTTTAATGGTGTCATAATGTGGCATGGGGTGATTACCACCAGAATGTGTGTGATGAATGTAGAGTATGAGGTGCATCTCTTTCAGAACTTCCTCACCGCATCGTGCAAATTTTTGTAGTTCGGTGTGGGGGACTGCTCCTTAGCACTTTGCCATTTGAATTCTGGATTCAGTGAATGCATCCATAATTTGTCCATCATCAAATTGTGATCAAGGATCATTTCTTCCTCTTCTACCAGTGTTGGAAATTGGTGTTAATTCTGTACTGTTTGCAGGTCTTGAAACAGACAGGAAATCAGGATCTCTGCTACTACAACTTCCTTTGTGCGCATCCGTTGGGACTGCTGAGTGACTTCAACCATGTGTTATCTAACATTGGCTATATATTGTTGGGCCTACTGTTCATTTTGCTGACGTATCACAGGGATATCATGCATCGGAAGTCTGACAGTAGACTAGACAAGGTACAGAATTTCCCTATGCTCTCACAGCATGTGTCCACTGATTACCAGTTCAGTTAGTTTTCACCTTGTTTAAATACTTCATATTTAACATATTATGGCCCTTGTGTGACTTTATATGTTGAATTTGCATTGTGTGTACCTTGTTTACTGTATGTACTTTGTTTTGTATTTTTCCCTTTATGTATAGTCTTTCCTTGTCTGTTATCAGTGTAAGATCTACTGCCACCGGGTGAACACCCAATTGCAATAAAATAATAATAATAAAATATTACTCTCTAAGGTTTCCTACAAAAATGTGAATATAATCAGCAATAAACCAGAGGATACTTGACGAATAGGCAGACCTGCTATCAGGTTACTGGATTCAGTTGAAGATTGAAGACAGTGGTCGTTAGAAATTGGGGAAGAAAGTCGCAGGATTGGGACCAATGGAGAGCAATAATAGAAGAGGTCAAGGTTCACTATAGACTCTAGTGCCTGCAGCAGCAGCAGTGGCGGTGGCAGTGGTAGTGGTAGGAGGAGGAGGAGAGGATATGACAATGATGATTAATGCATGCCTTGTGTGCCTGTTTCATGTGTGGAGTTTGAGTGTCATTGGTTGTCGTGCCAGGATGTTATAGAATCTAGTGCTGGGATTGTATCTTAAAGTAGGGCTATGTTATTTCTTTCAAAATCTTCATCACTATATCTGAAAGCATTAATAATGCACTTCCTTCTCATTCAACAAGGAGTGGTATCTAGCTGCGAACATGGAAGGGTTATGTAACAAAGAAGTGGTGGTGGTGGTGGTGGTGGTGTTAAGCAGTAAATAGTAAGTAGTAGTAGTAAAGTAGTTTATGACTGCTGACATGTGTGACTGGTCAGTATATTGCCACATCTGTAGCCTGATACTTGAGCAGCTGTAGAATAAGGCAGTCGTGCCCCCCCCCCACAGTTGTTTTAAAATCGATGTAAAACAGTTCTGCAGGTTTGAACATTTTGTTATTGTTCCAGTACTATGGAATTCCACAGCACTATGGGCTGTTCTATGCAATGGGTGCTGCACTTGTGATGGAGGGTGTGCTCAGTGGTTGCTATCATGTATGCCCTAATCAGTCCAATTTTCAGTTTGGTAAGTAACATTTTAGGAAATGTAGTACCTTTTAATGTAATGTGACGTGGATGGCGCAAGTAGGGGCCACGTAAACTCTGCGGTCTCGCGAGTGACGTCACATACCCCAACTCCTTCCATCATTACGCAATGCTTGGTAAACATTCAGTCCCCTCCCCATGGTGACATAACAGCACTTCCCACAGTGATGTAACAGGGGACACCGTGGTTACTACGCAGCAATAACCAACTTTCGGCAGCGTTCCCCAGCAACGCCTGAAAACACGATGTTACGCAACAGTGGTAGCTATCACATAATTGTTTTCTGTGTTGTCAGTGCGGAAGCTACATGATGAGCAGTATTCGTCAGAGTAACCAGTCAGTTGCAATCTAGCAGTCGCTGAATCAGGTTGTATCGAGTGCATGGCAGGGACTCCAGGAGGAGAAGTAATTGTGTACTGCCGATGGCAGTAGTTGTGAGATTGTAAATTGTGTAAATGTAAGAGCGAGTGTTCAGTAAATTTTCTAGATCCAGAATGGTGTGAAGTTATTTGTCACGTGACCTACCCAACACGTGACAGTAATTTGTGACTCAGTAGACAAAGAGTCTGTAATCATTATTCTGAGTTCTCAGTGTCCATGTACAGCAGAACTATCATTTATTCTTCATTTAAAATTTTTTCCCAATTTAATGTTAAGTTTCAACAGTCCAGATCAATAATTTCAATGATAAATGAACTCCACTTGTCCTTGGTTTAATATTTTAATTAATACTTCACACATGTATATGTTAATGACGTTAAAAATCTTCAGATTATTGAAACACAGTTATATAGGAATTTAATTGAGATACTGTTAACATGTTCAAAGATGCAGAGAAATGAGAATGCTACAGTGCAAAGGATATCTGGAAAAAATATGGACTGTAATAAAAGTAAACCTATCCCCGTACCAGGCTGTGAAGGCCCATAGGGTTGTGAGACGTTAAGGGTCCCACATTATCTAGACAATCGGCTCAAAGATGGCAGTAAGGTTGTCAGCCTTACGCGCTGTCCACGCTTTACTCCCTAGGAAAATTATTTAATTAATTCTAGGTACTCATTTCTGTTAGAGGCTGAGTTGACTCCAGGGCCATAGTGCGGCGGAAAGGATTAGGTCAATTGAAAAAAAATCCAAGGACCTCATTGGGACTTGAACCCCCGAACTTCCGACTTGTAGCATAGCCCCTCAACCAACTACACTACTGCGTGCCCCCACGGATTGTGGTACCGATTCATATTTTCCAGTCATATTTATTTTTAGCATGGTTTAAACAGAAGATGTTTTGGTTCATGTCTCTCAGTAGAAATATATTTAGAAACCTGCATACCTGATATTCTGGAACTAAGTTGTTGAATTCATATTCAGATGTTACATCATCAGCTGAATATCAGTGCATGTTTTTGTGTGTTCAGATCAGACTCTGCTGCTTTGGAAGGGTGCAGAATAGCAGTATCATGGTTAAGAACCAACATGAAGTTGTAGTGTATTCTTCACATCAGTCATTCATTTTGTGGTTGCTTATGTTGGAAATGGTTCCATACACCTTGCATTGTGGAGAGGCTGGGAAGAATGATAAGATCTTAATCCAAAATCCATACAGCAATAGAGAACTGCTGTTTGTATTAATTATTGGAATTGAAAGTATATTGGAGTGAATTGTGGATTTGCTTCCAGATACAAGCTTTATGTACGTGATCTCAATGATGTGCATGCTGAAGATTTACCAGACACGACACCCTGATATAAATGCCAGTGCTTATACTACATTTGGTGTGCTGGCACTGGTTATTCTCGTTGGAATGTGTGGTGTTCTTTGGGGAACCGTGTACTTCTGGATTTGTTTCACAGTAGTACATCTGGTGACATGTCTAGCATTAAGCGCTCAGATATATTACATGGGCCGATGGAAGCTGGGTGAGTAGTTAGTCTGACTGAGTTGTGTGGCATTTTTGAGAGAGGAATGTACTTCTGAATTGATTTCACTCTACTATATACGATGATATGTTTATCTGTAAGTACTCAAATGTATTATGTGGGTCATGGGAAGCTTTCTGAGTAATTACTCTGATCTTTATGTGTGGTGTTCCTAGGGGAACAGTGACATTGTCAGTTTGTATAACTGTAAATGATCAGGTTATATGGTGTGGGTCACTGGAAGCTTGGTTAGTAGTTATTCTGATCTTGATGTGTGGTGAGATCTTTAGTTTTATGACCTGTGTATTCTGGCAGGTGGATAGTAACCAACATTTCAAAGGAGCATTGATACCCTCCTAATGGACTGCTTGGTGTCATAGCCCAGAAGCCATAGTATGCATCTTCACCATAAAGAAATCTTGAGATCTTAAAAATTTTAACTGTTCTTCTTTTGGCTTATTTTCGACTTACCCATCGTCTGGCATGTAAAAGACAAAAAGACAAAAAACCATGACGTTTTGGAGACTGGATCTATCTCCGAAACGTCGTGGTTTTTTGTCTTTTTGTCTTTTACATACCAGACGATGGGTGAAGTCCAAAATAAGCCAAAAGAAGTACAGTATACACCATCGTCAGAATCCTTTCAAGTCTATTTTAACTGTTGTTTTGTATAGGCATGAAACCTTATGTCTTACTTTTAGGGCAGAATATAAAGTGAGAGTGCTTGAGATAAAACTGCTGAGTAAGATTCAATCCCCTAGGAACGATGAAACAGCAGGGGACGGGGAAAATTATGCTGATATGTATCTTGCATGTAACATTGTTAAAATCATTAAATATGGTTAAGATGGATGGAACATGTAGAATTCATGGAACAGATGAGAGATGCATAGAGAACTTTGCTTGAGAATTCTAAAATTGAGAGACTTTGGAAGGATAATGTTATAATGGGTGTCGAAAAATAGGGTGTGAAGATCTATGCTATGTATACTGGTTTCAACCGGCACAGGTTAGGTTCTACACTGAATTGTTCTGATCGTGATAATGAACCTTTGGGTTTCATAAAAGTGGAGTTTATTATTAAAGTGTAAGTCCCATTTAAGGTTTCTTTTGGGAGCAACGGATCTGTACACTAAACTAAAGAAAATATTAAATGGAGGTAATTTAAAACAGGTTATTGACCTCAGGTCACAGAAATGGAACACTAAAGGAACACTCTTTTAGTGTTCCACGTGAGGGAATTTTAAACGGAAGATCTATGCTATACAATGTGTTGTATACCTGTTGACTAATGAAGACTTCATCAGTTTTTCTAAAACTTTAGACACTTCTAAAATAACATACTCACTCTTTGCAGTCTAACTGTGCAGTATACCCAATTATTATAATTTTGAATTTCAAATTGTGATACTTGTTTTCAGACCCGGGAGTGTTCAGGAGGGTTACTTCAGTGTTGTACAATGATCTCAGAGCTAGCCCTTGGCAATGTATAAAGCCTGCTTACCCAAACAGAATGGTACTGCTCGTGTTAGGTAAGCTGTTATATATTTTGAATATATTAATAATTTACCACTTATAGTTGTGCATCATCACATTTTAACTTACAACAATAAGTATACCTTTTTCTCTAGTAATATGCCCCCAAATGAGGCCAGAAACCATATTTTAAACTTAGAATACAGAATTTTTTCTTATGACAATAAGTAATAAGGCAACCCACATAAAAGTGGATAAGTCAGAGAAAGAAAGAAGAACAAGAGGTTCATTAACATTTTACATGTTTTTGATGAGACATATTACATGCCGTTTCTGTCGTCATGCGATATGAAAGAGATAACTCATTAAAGTATGAATACAGTGTGTTTGTTAGATTTATGTTAAAATATGTAGCCAAGCTCTCAAATATTTTATATCCACAATGCATGTTCTTTTTGTGTCACCTGAAAATGGTGCTCAGATTGTAAGAGTCAGATTTGTAACAGTTTTGTTCATTACAGAGGAAACATTTAAATTCTTCTGGCAGTTTCAAGTTAATGGACTGTTGTATCAGTGACTGTTATGTTTAGTATTTCTGCAAACAGAAAGTTTAATGTTAGGTGATAAAGAATCATCTTTTTCCCATTTTTTGTTTATTCTCCTCCTCATTATGCTGTTTCTCATTCTCTGCAGGTCTCATGTTCCAGCATATTAACGTGATCAAGCATATAATGACGCGGTTCTTCTCTGTTTTACAATGAAAGTGCACTGTAGCATTTTGTTTTGTTTTAGTTTTATTTTTGTCAGCTATATGTTACATTAAATGAAATTTCACAATTCTGAAACTGGTAGCTGTAATCACTGATTTTCCCTCAAACAGAAACCAGAGAAATAATAAGCCAAGAGATATAGTTGAGCTTCATGCATTTGTGAGGGTATCTTTATTGTGTTTCTTTTCTCTCCTCTCCCTGTCTTTGAGTGTGATATTGTTGCAGGAAATGTATGTAATTGGGCATTGGCTATTGTGGGCTTCCTTTACCACTTAAAGGACTTCGCTACCTATTTGTTGTCCATCTTTATGGCCAACCTTTTGCTGTACTGCATGTTCTACATTATGATGAAGGTATGATTAATATTTTCTAGCATATTCTCATACCAAAGGCCTCAGATTTTCTGTTTTGGATAGGTGTAGTGACTATGCTGTGGGCTGGATGATGAAGGAATTAGGGATTCAGTTCCCAGAAGGGACAAGAGATTTTCTCTTCTCCACAGTGTCCAGGTGGCTCTGGAGTTAATGTGTCTTCCTGTTCAGTAGTTACTAGGGGCTTCTTCCCCAGAGGTGAATTGGCCAGGGTGTGAAGCTGAAAATTTGCCTCTACATAATGCAAAGGTTGAAATGCATGGTGTTATACTTCTGTTCCTCCATACATATTCATGTTATGGTGCATAATTAACCCAGGAAGGGAGTGGATTTCAGTGGTCTAAATAAGGAATTCATACCCTTCAGATGTTGACATGATGACTGGGTGTGTGTCTATATACCCATCAGATGTTGACATGATGACTGGATGTGTATATACCCATCAGATGTTGACACGACTGGATGTGTGTGTATATATATATATACACACACACACACACACACACACACATCAGATGTTGACACAGTGACTGGATGTGTCTATATACCTATCAGATGTTGACACGATGACTGGATGTGTGTCTGTATACCCGTCAGATGTTGACATCGTGACTGGGCGTGTGCCTATATACCCATCAGATGTTGGCATGATGACTGTATGTGTGTATATACCAATCAGATGTTGACATGGTGACTGGATGTGTCTATATACCCATCAGATGTTGACATGATGACTGGATGTGTGTATATATACCCATCAGATGTTGTCACGATGGCTGGATGTGTGTCTATATACCCATCAGATGTTGACACGATGGCTGGACGTGTCTGTATACACACCAAATGTTGACATGGTGACTGGATGTGTGCCTATATACCCATCAGATGTTGACATGATGACTGGATGTGTGTATATATACCCATCAGATGTTGTCATGATGGCTGGATGTGTGTCTATATACCCATCAGATGTTGACACGATGGCTGGACGTGTCTGTATACACACCAAATGTTGACATGGTGACTGGATGTGTGTCTATATACCCATCAGATGTTGACATGATGACTGGATGTGTGTATATATACCCATCAGATGTTGTCATGATGGCTGGATGTGTGTCTATATACCCATCAGATGTTGACATGGTGACTGGACGTGCCTGTATACCCATCAGATGTTGACATGGTGACTGGACGTGTCTGTATACACATCAGATGTTGACATGATGACTGGATGTGTGTATATATACCCATCAGATGTTGACATGATGACTGGACGTGTGTCTGTATACACATCAGATGTTGACATGATGACTGGACGTGTGCCTATATACCCATCAGATGTTGACATGATGACTGTGTGTGTCTATATACCCATCAGATGTTGACATGATGACTGGATGTGTGTCTGTGGTGGGCGAGTTAAGGCATGAGCGCAGCATTTTTAAAGGAAATCTAAAAAAATGTATTAAAAGACCAAGAAGATTGTGTTAGGAATTTTTATAATTAAGGGTATGGCCTCACTTAGCCTCCTGTTCAATCAGTACCCGGGGCTTTTTCCCTGGGGTAAGGCGGCCTGAGCGTGAAGCTGACCACTCACCTCCAATTAATGCCTAGGTCAAGAAAACATGTATATATACATTCACTCCCCCTATACCTCTTCATGGTGTAGTACTTAATTAGTTAAGCACAGTGACACCTTTATCTAGATTGTGAGGATGTGAACTGGATTTAGATTGTGACGTAGTCTAGAGGTAATGTTCCCATCAGGAAAGCGTCCAGTAATGAGCTTTGTAGCTAGTATTGTTAGTGTTTTGGGTTATGTCATCAGAGATTTAGGTAGTTGTGTTTAAATATTTCATTTTTCTCCCCATTCCCTCACATCTCTTTGTGTTCATAATCTTACTTTTACCCCTCATCTCATAATGCATTATCACACTCATGGGAACAGTTCCTGTCCTCATAGCTTCTTACTCAAACTGTTCCGACCATAACAGAGGTTTAAGTTTAGGTTCACTTATTTTTTGTTCCTGAGTAGTTAAATTGGCTCCCTCCCCCTTCTTTTATTTTCTTATATTATGTATATTTTCCATACTCTTATGGTTTCTTACAGCTTTGCCACCGGGAACGGATCTTGCCGCAGCCACTCGTATACATTCTCCTGTCATTTGCTTCATGGGGAGCTGCTCTCTACTTCTTCTTCAACAAGTCAATATCATGGGCGGTTAGTAGCAAATCCCAGTATATGTGGTTGTGATTTTCATGGCATGATTAAGCTGCTTTGCTCTATGTTAATAAGTGCAGACAAAATGAGTAAACTAGAGAAGGACCCAGGATTCTTTGACATGAACAAAAAATTATTTCTTCTCTTAGCTATCTGATACATATGCTAAAAGGTAGGTAGGTTGGTAGGTGGATAGATAGATGCATGAATGGACGGACAGACAGACGGAGTATTTACACTATTAATAATTCCTTAGTATAGTACATATACAAGTGGCTAAAATTACGCTACACTTAAAATATGTTTTGTAAGCAAATTAATATGCCTTGTAAATTACTGTGCATATAAATTCAACCAATATCCAAATAACAGTGTCTACAATGACAATGACAAGGTTTATGTGTATGTGTATAATACGGATATATGCATATTCTACACATAGAAATGTACACGTGTGCACCGGAATCCATAGTTTAATGCTCCTAAATTTAAGATTTTCCCTCATTTAGCATTAGATTTTAATGATTTCAAGTCAATAAACTCACTGCTAAATTACCTTAATGTTCAAGTCTCCTGGTCCCCAGAGAAACCTTAAATAAGGGTGTCATTGTGTTGTAACCGTACTTCCCTCGTCAAAATCATATAATTAAGAGTATGAACTATTTATGCATTGTTTAATACCGTGAGAGACGCTCCATCGGCGAGATACCATCCCGGGACCTTCTAGTTGTAATTCAGCTATTGTCCTTAGGCTAAGGGTGCCGCTATTGTCCCTAACGCCGCCTGTTTACTCCCAGCATATCATAAACCCATGAACTGGCCGTGTACGAGACGAGCCAGGAGGGGTCTTGGATTACTTGAAGACCTACAGAGGTTTATGGGCATCTCGAAAATTACGAATGTAGGCCAGATGTTGGGCCCGACCCTTGGTTTTCCCTTTTTATTTTCTTGTTTTTCGGATGCCAACTGGGGGGACTTGTAAAGATGGGTGTCGGTTATAGGGGGCGGAGGAAGACAGGAGTTGGAATGTAGATAGAGAGGAGAGATGTGTTTAAGAGTAGTGGTAGCTAGTCGGCGGACGGAGCGGCTAGCTAGGAGAATAATGTACGGATTCATCATTAATGAAATTTTAAATTAAAACTGCCATCCACGGCGTGTTCTGGAGATCCCGGATTGATTTACCCCGAAGTGTGTTCCACTCCCATCTCCAAAGCACCCGTATCCCTGAGAGAAAGAACTCAAGCTCGAGTGACTGTCGTGGCAACTGTAAGTCAGCGGTCGGCTGCAGTGTATACAAATGTAGAACTATGTACAGAATTTACAATCAGACATGATTGCTTTAATCTTTACAATTCTTTATTTGGATCTGTTGTAACACAAGACTGAAACTATCTAGGTCAACATTACCTTAGCTACATGTCTCAGCTTTTAAAGCCATCATCAGGCAAATACATGGTTACTGCACTCACTCACTGTTGAACTGCATTGCAATGTGACAGTAGAGCTGGGTACTTGACATCTGTGTTACACTATAATAATACATGGTTACTGCACTCACAGTATTGAACTCCATTTCAGTGTGACAGTAGAGCTGGATACTTACACTATAATAATACAAGGTATAAAAATACAATAAAATCATAAAATTATTATAAAATGAAAGTTATACAATAAAATGCTATTCATGTAATGTTAATCTTTTCTTAGTTATATGAGCTCATCAACACATTATAAAATGTGAGTCAAAAGAATTCTTTCAGTGCCACATTAAATTGTTTACTATCAGTATATTAGTGTGTTGTCACGTGTGTGGTTGTATGTGTGGCGAAAATAACAGGTTCTAGATTGGATTGGATTTATTGGCACTATGGTTACAACCTCTCTTAATCACACTCAGTTATGATGCTATCGCTGTTCTACACACTTTCTGTTCACCGTTGCACATTCAGTTAGATTCTGTGACTTCACTAGTGTTCTCATGGCAACAGATCTCAACACAGAATCTAGCGCTTCAAATCACTATGAAGTATTCTTGTTATTTCATCTTCAGTCACTTTGTAATCCTCTGTCCTAATCTGTACACAGGGCCGCGCCATAGCTCAAGCGGTTAGTCGCTGGCTAGCGGCCTCCGTAGTCTAGAGGTAATGTTCCCACCTCATGACTCGTAGTACACGGGTTCAAATACCCGGCGGAGGTCGTCGAATTTTTAAGGGCGGAAAAATTCAGGGAACAAGTCCTCCAGGAGGGACTTTAAGCTGTGTGTCCCGTGTCGTAACTTTACGGCACGTAAAAGAACCTCATATCCCCAAAGGGGATCACTGAGCCAAAATTCCAGGACGTTTCCTGCCCAACAGCAGTCTCTAATACCTCTGATAGAGGGGGGAAGCATTATAGACACCGCTAAGCAAGTGGCTGAACTCGCTTGCTCGGCGGGACTGATGGTAAGCACCAGTACCGGTAGGATATAGAGACTGGTAGAAATCATAGAGGGAAGCACAATGGACCACTATAGGTCTCAGTGCATGGGGAAACCCACCCTCTCCAATAACTAACTAACACATACCAGACACTATTGCATCACATCCCAGAAGGCACTAATCTCCATTGTCACTGCCATGACGATCCCAAATCTCTCACCCAGCCTGTGTTCTACAAGACAGCAGGTAAAATTATAGCTTCTGTACTCTTAACCTTGTAAATTGTGTAGGCCAGTGTTTGTTCTTCATATAGTAATATATAGGTACGTGTACTTGTAATTCCATTATGAATAATGTTCCAGCTAACACCAGCAGAGTCCAGGACTTACAACCAGCCATGCGAGATTTTGGACTTCTTTGACAAACATGACATTTGGCACTTCCTATCAGCTACCAGCATGTTCTTTTCATTTATGGTGAGTATTATATTTGTAGATAATGAGGAGCTTCATAACTTGTACTCTTCTCCAAGTATAAGTAGAATGATCAGGTCAAGGAGGATGAGGTAGGCAGGGCATATAGCATGAATGGGGGAGAAGATGAATGCATATAGGATATTGGTGGGAAAGCCAGAAGGAAAGAGACCACTGGGAAGACCAAGGTATAGGTGGATGGATAATATTAAACAAGACCTTAGGATAGGGTGGTATGGACTGGAGTTGTCTGGCTCAGGATAGGGACCAGCGGAAGACTTTTGTGAGCATGGTAATGAACCTTTGGGTTCCATAAAATTATGAGAAATTCCTTAGTAGCTGCACAACTGACAGCTTCTCAAGAAGGGCTCAGCTCTATGATACAGTTAGTTATTTATGTCTGACTGGTGTCTCCTGCCTTGTATTTTGGAGGTCCTGGGCTTGTATTTGGCCCTGAGCCCTTGTTTTCAGTGGGTTTCCTGAGCTCCTCCACAAAACTTCTTTAAGATGAAGCACAGCCATTCTGTCACATACCCTTTTTAGTCATTTGATTAGAGCCACACTGTCATTTGAGGCTATGTAACTTACACACGTGAAAAAGTGCCATTAAATAGCCAAACAGTTGCTGTCATTAGATTTCTAACTACATTCTGTTTATAGCCACACTGAAGACAAACATTGGCTGTTTATTGTTGTTTATTTTCTCTCCTCTAGTCTTTTATGTTTGTCCTCTCAAATGTAAAATAATATTATGTTATAAATGCTTTCATACAACTAGACACCATATTGCTAATAGATGTAAATTGAGGTCAATCAAGTTTTAAAATTAAAATTTCGAAGGAGTATGCGTAAGGATGAAGTAATGTTAAATAACCAAGTTCTGAAATCTGACAAACACTGCTGAAGAGACAGTAGATATTTTTCATTGGTAACTGGTTGAGGGGCTATGCTACAAGCCGGAAGGTCGTGGGTTCAAATTTTGTTGAGGTCATTGGATTTCTTTTCAATTGACCTAATCCTTCCAGCCGCACTATGGCCCTGGGGTTCACTCAGCCTCCTAACAGAAATGAGTACCAGGAATTAATTAAATAATTTTCCTGGGGAGTAGAGCACGGCCGGCGCATAAGGCTGACAACCTTACTGCCATCTTTGAGCCAGTTGTCTAGATAATGTGGGACCCTCAACGTCTCACAACCCTACGGGCCTTCACGGCCTGGTACAGGGATAGCTTTACTTTTTTTTAACAGTGAATAGGTTAAGAGTAATGTTATATTTTAGCGTCCTGTTGCACTGATTTATGTTCATGATTTATTCTGAGTATAACACATGCAGTCACAGGAGCAAGACACAACACAAAGCACAATACACACAAGAAAGTAGGAAGAATACTCCAATAGAAGAAGATAGGTGTGACTCGTGTATTGAGATACGACATAAGGATGACAAATCCTGAACAGTTTTAATATTTTTAATATTTAAAATTTATCGATGTATATGACAAATATGTATTTTAGTTATTTTAGAATAAAGACAACAGGGCATGCAATGAAGTAGTTCGACGTACATCAAAAAGCACCTGAAGATGGCACTTTTGTGCTGAAACATGTAGTGCAAGAGAGAAGAGTAAGGTGAATAAATGTATGCACTGTAAGACGGTCAGAATAAATCATGAAGGTTAAGAGTATTTTATTTTAATACTTGCTTAATGTTATTTTTTCTTTGCACAGGTTTTGTTAACGTTGGATGATGACTTAGTTTTTGTTCATCGCAGTAAAATAGCAGTTTTCTGAATCAAGTCAATGGAATGGTCTTCATGGTGCTAAACTTCTGTGATTCCTACATGGCTGTTTGAATGTGTGTTGTAATTTAAAATGTTAAACATTTATTGCTGTTTGAATGAGGGTATGACCCTTTTAAAGTGTTAATAATTTCTAAATGTTATTACTGGCAGTGGAGTAGGTACCAAACTTGCCCTCAGGTATCTTTATGATTGAGGAGTTTAATTTAAGTCTGAGTATTGAAAACATTATCACAGTTGAAGCTAAGGGTGGTTTATATCATTTGTTTGCAGATATCCTATCATTAATTTAAACAGAAGGAAACTTTAATAGCTGTGAACTGCAACTTATGTTAAAGAAGTTATTTTATATCTGTTTCATTTTATGTTTTATTATTATATGTATGACAATAGGTTAAAATGTTTTGTACAGTTGAGCACCCTTCTCCATTCTCTGACAGTGATGATTGCTGCTGGAGCAATTTATTTGCTTGCATGAAATGTCATAATAACAATAACAAAATGTCAGAGATTACAAGCCTTATACTGATTCAATTAATTTCACCAGTTTTGTTAACTACTGGGTCAGTACATATTATTTATTGCCTGTTTATTTACGTGTGCTTAAAAATAGTATATTAAATAATGTTTAGATTGTAAGGTTTGAGGCTTTCACGGTGGTGACTATGAAGAAAGCAGTCTTCTGGGATTCGGCAGCGTGTATATGTGGTGTTAACCGATGTTTCGGAGGAACGTCGGTTAACACCACATATACACGGTGCCGAATCCCAGAAGACTGCTTTCTTCAATGTTTAGATTAGTACACTGTTGCATTATTGTATTATTATACCACTAGAAAAATATAATATTGCATCCATTATAAATTCTGTGCCTCCTTTAGGAGATGGGCTCATATTCAGGAGTTGAACACTGCTTTCTGAATGCGTGTACAATTAGCTTTCACATCCAGTAGTGTGGAGACATTTCTGAATGTGTCTGCCTAATTCACCCATCCATGTAAGTGCAATATGGTCACTTGTTTGACACAGAGAAAGACTTGCATACAACTTATCTCTTTTCACTAATGAGATATGTGTATGGATGGTAATAAATAATAAGTACTGACTGAGATATTACACATATTTTTATTGTTACATTGCATTTGTAAAAGGAAGAGACTAAGAAAGAATGTTAAAAATCCACAGAGATTTTGTTACAAATTTTGCTTCTTATCAGGGTTTTAGCACTAAATTCTATGTTGTATTTGATGTTGTCACGGTGGTGACTGAATAGTATGGTCTTCTAGGTTGTAAAACTGTGTAGTTTGGATAAAGCCCAATGTTTTAGATGAACATATAAGCGGCCTCCATAGTCCAGGGGTAACGTTCCCACCTCATGACTCAAACCCGGCGGAGGTCGTCTAATTTTTAAGGGCGGAAAAATTCAGGGAACAAGTCCTCCAGGAGGGACTTTAAGCTGTGGGTCCTGTGTCGTAGATTTACGGCTTGTAAAAGATCCTCATGTCTCTAGGAGACCTCTGAGCAAAATTAGGCAACAATTTCCTGACCAAGTAGTTTCCAATGCCTCTGGTAGATGGGGGGAAATATCAGGTACTGACGGCCGACCTCGTTGGCGCAACGGGGCTGATAGCACGCACCTGTACCGGTAGGGTATGGAGACAGTAGAAATTAAAGGGGGACGCACAGTGGACCAATAACTGGTCTAAGTGCATGGGGAAACCCACCCCCTCTAATAATAATAATAATAATAGATGAACATATCACCTCTGTCTTTAGGACTGAAGAGTGCGACTAGCAGGCTTAACGCAGCTTACTACCTGCTGCTGCTGGTTTATTGCTTGGCTTTCTGTTCAGCCCTGAAGATGAGGCAGCATGTTCCAGTGAACCTTGGGCTTTCCCCTAACTGCATGATGTTACAAGCCAGAAAACAATGCTCCTGAAATGCAGTGTTGTTTCAGTTTGTAAATAGCTTTCAGGTGAGAAGTGGAACAAAATATGTACATCTTACTGTAGAATTTTAAGATATGCAGAAAACTGCCAATTTAGCATTTTTATTTCAAGTTATATTGTATGGATTAATATATTAATATTTCAGATTTTGTGATCTGAATTGATATATCTAATTAAACTGCTCAAAGTTAGTTAGATTTTTCAGCTTATGATACTAATTCAGTTTTAAAAATGACTGATAATAGGTTTTTGATTGACTTGTTCTCCAAGATGTGGTCAGGTGCTTTGTCTAAGCTTCTGTACCGCAGCTCCAAGATGTTTTGAAGATTGCTTGTTTGTTGTGCTAGTATTTAATTTTGTCATCAACTGTGGCAAGCTTACATTCCTCTTTGTCTAACTTTTATCAAAGAATGCATTTAATTTTTTATATACAGCTAATGAGATCTAAAAAAAAAAACATGACAGCAGTGGGGACTTACTTCCATTTAAATGAACTGCAAGGACAGGCAAGGTGCCATTTGAAGAAGTCTCAGTGGGGATTAAATGGAGTCCTGCAACCGTGTTACGTGATGCTGACTCTACAGTATTTAGTTGGAATTACTAAGACTGCTTGCCTTTCTTATATAGTTTTGTGAATCTTATATAGATTATATAGATTGTGAATAGTTTAACCAGTGTTTGAAGAGGAAACTCTAATGTAACTGAGAAACCAATGTAAAAGAGGTCCAGAATATAAATCCAAATGTCTCTCCAGTAGCACATTGGCTGGTTGTAATACAGATTCTGCATTTTATTTCTTCTGTCTTAAGTAGTTTTGTGGAATATTGTAGCACACTTGCTGCAAAATGTATGGTATTGTTTCTTTATTTTGTGTAGTCATTGGTTTCCCTCATTTGCTCCAGGCAATTGCAGCTACTCAGATGGTACTATAAATTATGCCACAACCTCTTCCTTCTGTATCCTTTTTGGTTCATTGTCTTCTACCCCATAATTTGATGCTGTGTAGTCTCCAGTTACTGATAACATTGTTAAATCAACTGCAAGTAACTGAATGTAGTTGTATATATAATTCAGTCTTACACAAAAAATCAGCTCATGGACAGGGTAAAATTAAGAGGAATGTCTGGTTTCTCATTTACTGTACATTTCTTGTTTCAGAGTGATGCGTGGCATGCGTAAAATTCTATATAGTAACATTCTTGGATTCATGAAACGCGTCCGAAGAAACTGTCACGATGGGCTGGAAGGATTGGAATTAACTAGTTGATCATCTTTCATAACTGTGTATGCAGTATTTACTCATATATTTTGCAGCTTGAATTCGTTATGAAGTGTTGAAATATGTCACTGTATTTAACTATTCAAAATTATATGTTAAAATTAAGAGGAGATTGAATTTGGATACCATTCAGTGGGTGTGAAACTTGGTCTCTGTCATTAAGGGAGGAACATAGACTTGAGAGTGTTTGAGAACAGGGTGCTGAGGAGAATGTTTGGGCCAAAAAGGGATGAAGTGACAGGAAGTTGGAGAAAACTGCATAATAAGGAGCTTCGTAGCTTGTACTGTTCGCCAAGAATAATTAGAATGATCAAGTCAAGGAGGATGAGATGGGTAAGGCATGGAGCACCAATGGGGGAGAAGAGGGACCCATGTAGGATATTGATGGGAAAGCCAGAAGAAACCATCAGGAAGACCAAGATGTAGGTGGGTGTATAATATTAAAATGGATTGTAGAAAGATAGGATGGGGTGGTATGGACTGCTATGATCTGGCTCAGGATAGGGACCAAATGGAGGACTCTTGTGAACATGGTAAGGAACCTTTGGGTTCCATAATATGTTTGGGAAATTCTTCAGAAGCTGCACAACTTGTGGCTTCTGAAGAAGGGCTCAGCTCCATGGAGTTACTAAATCTATTATCAGTACTGAAAAGCAACAGCTCTCATGCCAGAAACAGCACATTCCAGAATAACATCTGATATTAAGACTACAATTGGGATCCCAGTTTCTTCTTAGTTCAGTCATTATAGTGACTAGATTATGGTTGAATATCTGAGGAATCTAGGTTCATTCTCAACAGGGGTAAGGAATTTTTGTCTTCTCTGCAATGTTTAGACCAGCTTTGGGACTGGTGAGCCTCCTGACCAGTGGGTACCAGAGGTTCTTTCCCTGAATGTGAATGTGAGGCTGACCACTCACCTTCATATAGTGTTGAGGACTTTTCTGCATGATGATTAGTATGAAGATTCTATGTGAATTTACAAGAGAAATCATGCCATGTGTCTGTTGAAAAATTAAATCAAATGATAACAGAAGGTCATTTTAAACCTACACTGCAGCATTTTTTACAGAATTAAAATTGTTCACAGTGTAATGTATATCTTGAAATTACACCGTCTGTATCCTAGTTTGAATATCTGACCATGAAAAGAGGAAATGGATAGTCTAACAGTAGTGCACCAAGAAGCAGAAGACTGCAAGGGAACTGTGCAGCCCTTGGAGTTTGGTTGTGTGTCAAGCTGGGACCAGTGGTGGTGGCTCAGCAGTGCTGTCTGTAGATTGCAGAGGACGCCTGGAAGTATCATGCTGTTGGTAGTCCAAGGAAGAGGACTTTTGTCAGTGCCAAAGTTTGGTTGGACATAGAATGCATATCTCTGGCTCTGCATAGCTACAATTTAAGGGGGGGGGGTCAGTCTGGATGAATGCGTGGAATAATTTAATGTTGCACCATCTCAAGTCATTACATAATACTTTCGAAATGTGTAACACCGTTCCTCATCACTGTATGGGTTCTGAGTCCTTAGAATGTTAGCGCAAAACATTTTAATTTTGTGTGAGGAAAAACCAATAATGTCTGCTGACATTTATAATTTGTAATTAATGCATAGGCCATTGTTTCTGTGTTGAGGTTTGTATCAGGAAGGTTTGGCTTATAAGCATCAGACATAATACCGAACTTCAAATTTGGAGCCCGAAACCTAATACCGTGAATGTACGGTCAGGACTGCTGTATTAGTATATCAGGGCTTTGACACCTCTCGATCTAAAAGCAACAAAACGCTACGTTGCACGTTTGTCATAGTTCGTACGGCGACCAATAGATAGTGCTGATTTGATTGCAGTGCTATGGCGGTTTGTGGCAGAAAGTTAGTGTAGTTCCATGTTCCATGATCAGCGTTTGTTGTTCTTGTTGGTATGAGTGCTGCGTGTGTGAGTGATATTTGTTCGTGCAAAGATGGATATAGTTTAACGTTCCTGTTTCTGAATATGCAGCTTCACCACTAGGTATGTGATAGTAATGAAATGAAAAGCACTCTTTACTGGCAAAGAGGCCATCGCCTATCCTTCTGAATGGCCCACTTGCGTTTTTGTACTTCGAAACGGCGTCTCATCTATGGAACTCAAGTCTGCGCACAAACAATGTGTTTGCTGTTCCTAAGGTGACCGAAACGTCTTACTTGACGTTGCTTTAGGTGAGCGCTGCCCCCGTTACAAATAAGATGTAATTAATATCCACAGTATCAGATTGATAATTGTTCTGCTGCGAGCCAGACGTTTAAAACTTCGTAACTTTAAATCTCCCGGGCACGCCGATGTAACTAAGGCGATTTATTTACATGGTGGATTTTTGTCAGTTAGAGGTAGAATTACGTACTAGGTTACAACGACCGCACAATTTTTGTTTTCAAAGGCTCACATCGTAACAACTAATCACAGTTTGAAAGAAAAATACTTTGTAGGATTTTTTTGTATATCTACTTACCCGTATTGGAATTAAAGTTTGAAGTTAAAATTGTATAAATTGTGCCACGAAACGAAAATTACTACGAACATTCGTACTTCAGGCCACAAAATTGTTTCTGTTATGTCATAGAACAGTTATTGTGGTTACACAAACATCAAACCACATGTATTTCCCTAACAAGATTGTGGTTCTCCATATCCTTTGGTTTGTACTCGAATAACTAGATAGCAAATACTTGTATTTTATTGAAGTTCTCATCTTGAAACACATAAGTAGGAGCTCATCAAGGACCAGAAGTTTGTAGAACTAAATTCTAGGTTTCATCCCAGGCCAGTGTGTAATAGTGAAGTGTATGTTGCTGTTTGAAAAGAGCGTCTCATGTCATAAAATAAACTAAAATTTCAGAATACTTTTCTGTTACTTGGCTGGAATGCATTTTTGAAGATGATCCCAAACACACAACAGGGACAGTTGTTCATTCATTCATTCATTCATTCATTCTTTATTTTTCCATATATATCCATACAGGTTAACAAACCAGGATGTGGAAATAGTCCTTTTGAATACAGATACATCATGCATATACAAAATTGCACAAGTCAATAAAACAAAGACACTTACATCAATCTATAAATATAGATAATATTATAGGGCAGAAGAATTGACTAAGATTTCATTTAATAGACATACTTAAAAAATAACCTACTATAAAACTTGTATTTACACCATTTCATATAAAATACCCATATTAACTAAAACAAATAGTCAAAAATTACACACCTATGACCCATTATGTTTATAATATCAGCATCGTATTTAACTCCATAAATCCATACAGTATATACTTTTAACACATTTAAAACTGTTAAAATTATTATTCTGATTCCTTAAATGTTAATAGAAGTGTAATGTAACACTGGAATCCTTTTATTATGTTCCAACCTGATTCAGTATTTGATGTAACTGCCTACTAGTCAGATGAAAAGGGAAACAGGTTTCACTGAAGTGTTAGTAACCATTGACCATTGACCATTAAGACCACAGTCTTAATTTTCACTTCCCTTAAAACCTTAAATCATGTCTGACCACTGTTTTTCTCTCCCAGAACTGTGTTTCCAGCAGGATGGTAATGTAATTTGTTTAGGTACTTGATGAGATAATCATCCATTCCTTCCAGATGCCATATCCAGTTGTATATAGATGTGTGTTTTATTATTTAAATTCGATATATTTAATTTTTATTTAATACTTTTGACATTTATGATACATTGATGGTTTATCTGTTGCTGTTCACATGTTTGTCTCATATCTGTACAGTATTTGTATTTCATGGTAATGATTGTTGATATTCTTGTTGTTTTGTATAATTGTTTATGGTTTAAGATTTTACTTTTCTCTCAGATATTATCTAGTGTGAAATATATAATTTAATTGTGTGACCAACTGCATGCAATATAGTCCTTGAGGAACTAATAAATGCCCAACTAGTCAAAAAGTCACCCACCGTTTATGAAACTTGATATTTCATTGTCATATTCACAAGAGTTTGCCACTGGACCATTGTTCTGAGCCTGTTGTATCCTATCTATGCACTAATAGGACTATAAACAGTGTTTACAAATCAGGCATGATTTTTCTGTTTGTTTCGTTATTTTTTAAATTTAATTTTTTTAGTTTTTCTTATTGCTAGTGGGATGGGACTTGTTTAATTATTTTTTAAATGTAATTTTTTAGTTTTTTTTTATTGCTAGTGGGTTGGGGCTAAGTCCCTCGTGCTGCGGCAATTTTTAGTTAATTTGCTACATATTTCTCTCATAAAGAGTGTCCTTATTAATTACTTCTTCTACTCTGCCTGTATGTAAGTGATATTGATGTGGCAATCACAAGACTGTGCTATTAAAATGAAATCTTATATGAAGTTGAAGACGCTTGTAGATGTTAAAAGCTAGTGTTATCTCATGTAATTCATAGAGCACTGGATATTAAGATTTATTAAATAATTATTTTACTGTTTGTTTTTGAATGAGTACGATATGGGGACTCATACTCTTGAGAGCAGAATTTCAGTTGCGAGCATATGAAAACAGTGCTTAAGAAACATTGGATCCTAGAAAGAAGTGGAGGTGTTATCACTAGTCTTATAGTCTTATAAGGGTACCAAAAGAAATATATGTATCAGAAACGTACAGGGTGGTCAGTTAACTGGTCAGTAAAATGTGCGCTACAGTATGTTAGAAATTTCTTTATTGCTTACAGAATTTACAGACACTTTTTGAAATGCCGTCCATTATGTTCAATACATAACTCACAATGCTGCGAGAACATTCTGTGGATTGACTGGCAGGTTTAATTTTGAAGATTCCTGTTAGTACACGAAAAGGTTTTAAGTTAATTGTGACTTTTTGGCCACTTTGTATATTGGACGTGATGGTGAAGGAAGGTTCCATTGTCTCTGCTGAGGATTGAGTCCAGGTTGTTCAGGCTATGATGCTTATTTAAGCAGTTACATTACTTACTGACCTTTCACCATTCAAGGACTATTTGTAGGACCAGTATTTTGTTTAAAAGGCAATTGTATATTTTGGTGTTGCAGTAGTTTTGAAAATATAATTTAGTTCAAGTGGGTAAAAGGTAGGAAAAAAGATGGTAAAGCTATTCCTGTAACAGGCCGTGGAGGTTCATAGGGTTGTGAGACATCGAGGCTCTAACATTTTATCTAGGAATTTGGCTCACAGATGGCAGTAAGGTTGTCAGCCTTACATGCTGGCCCACCTTACACCCCAGGAAGATACCTGGTACTCATTTCTGTTACATTTTGAGTTGACCCCAGGGCCATAGTATGTCTGGAAGGATTAGGTCAGTTGAAGAAATCCACCTGATGGTGACTCGAACTCGCAATCTTTCGGCTTCTAGCAATATGCCTCAACGCTACTGCATGACCCCAGTTCAAGTGGATAAAATTTAAGTTTCTGGGAAGAATACAAAAGGTTATTTTGCACAAAGAATGACATTTCTGTTGATTTAATAAACTTGCATGGGTGGAAATTAGTTGAATTGCCAGATTTTGAGCAATCATAGTGCTGAGTGAGAACATTTATATATAATACACCACAATTGGGGGGGACGGCACGCGGTAGAGTAGTTGGTTGAGGGGTTATGCTACAAGCCAGAAGGTCGCGGGTTCAAGTCCTAAAGAGGTCATTAGATTTTTTCAATTGACCTAGTCCTTCCAGCCGCACTATGGCCCTGGGGTTCTCCCAGCCTCTAACAGAAATGAGTACCAGGAAGTAATTAATTAATTTTCCTTGGGAGTAAAGCGTTGCCGGCGCGTAAGGCTGGCAACCTTACTGTCATCTTTGAGCCGATTGTCTAGATAAAGTGGGACCCTGAACGTCTCACAACCCTATGGGCCTTCACGACCTGTACATGGATAGCTTTACCTTTTTTTACTTACACCACAACTGGGAGTTTATTCAGGATTTCATTTCCATGAAAGAAGTGGGAAGTGAAAGGTAAAGATAAGATTAAGCATCACGCCATGAAGATGAATGGGAGAGTGGAAGTATAGCTCCACCATTTTTGTCCCTTGCACTAAATAGAGGTGAGTGGTCAGCTTCACAGCTGCTTTAACCCCAGGGAAAGTGCCAGTACGAATGCTGTGGAGTAGAGAGAAATCTCTTGAATCCCCCCTCCCTCCCCAGGAATCGAACCCTGGCTGTTATGCCTGTCGCTGTATCAACTGAGCTATCCAGATCATGGAGTGGGAGCTTCAATGTGTAATTAATAAAATAGTGTTCTTTATTATAGTTTGGAAATGAAATATTATGGCTGTACCAAACACTTGATTGTCATATCCTCTCTTCCTGACTTAATATTTTTAAGCAAGCAATGCCATTTTTATCAGGAATTTCATGAAGATAGGAATTTTATAAATAAAACACTCAACACTCACAACTGTATACTCCCACTGATATGGGAACAAGGTTGCATCATCATCATCATCAGTGATGTAAACCTTTACATGATTATTAAGAAAGTTAATAAATTATATTTTCCATATAGTTTCAGTGTTCGTAAGTTAGTGTGAAATTCATACGCACCTAACACAGGAATTTCCTTGCATAAGGTTACCTACATAGGATATGACATACTCTGATTCGTAGAGCAGATAAACTTTACTAAGATACTACGCTGTTTAACTTGTGATTATAATTTTAATCACTTTCATCTTCTTTGTGTAAAAATACGCTGAGAGGAGAATTTTGGTTTTGAAATTAATAGGCCACTTGTAAACAATTAACTGAACATGTTACAAGAGGTTATTATTTCTTATGTTGCATAGTGTTGATTGGTTGAGTGGTGTAGTGTACTGTAATGTGTTTTTGGACATTATCCATCATCTTTAAAAAACCATCCTGTTTTTTTTTAAACAACGTTTCGGAGATAGGGGCTAGCTATGTCGATTTGATCCAACTGAGTAGGTTTTACCTGAGGACGGGTACATAATCCAGTCTTCGAAAGGTTGTGTTTTAAAAAAAAA